GATCAAAAAAACCCGTGTTCTCACGATCTTCAGACGCGGCGCGCGACCCAGAATCTGAAGTCCATCTATCCGGGACGGCGGCTCACCTCACAGACCACTGACACGGCTCGCGGCCCTCTTTCCCCCTTTTGTCATCTCATTTTTTCTCAGCGAGGACAGCTGGACGACGAAGATCTCTCGACCGATGCCACGATGAGCCTGGGTCCTCTGCTTCAGGTACGATTTGCGGTTTGCAACGTTGTTTCCCGCTTTCCTTCCTTCCTGTTCCCGACCCTCGTCGTCCGATCCATTCCAAAATTAGACACGCCGTCAAGAGGTCAGTGCAGAAAGGGAAAAGAAATGGGAAAAATGTGAGTAAGTGCCTTCTGTTTATGGTGAGCCGGTAGAGCGTGAAGCTTTCTCACTAGCTCTGTTGAACATGTCAAAAAGCCAGTCTTCGACCCCCCAGACGGGCGAGAACGCGTCTTCAATCATCACCACCCATCCCGTACTCAACCCTCGACTCCCGCGTTTTGAAGGATCGCCTCCAACCCTGCAGACGCGGTCCCTGGCACGGCAGTGACACTGCCTCCATGCTGGATCGACCGGCCGATGGAAGGAAGAGCAGGGCAAACAAACCCGCTGTGCGTGCAGCGTTGCAGGCGGCAGCAAGGCAGGGCTCGCTTCGATTTTTCATGATACGGCGATGCCTTCGACAAATGATTTCCGAAGACCCCGTGCACGGTGCGTTCTTGCAGGGCAGCGCGGCAGGGTCAGGGGTGCATACACATCCACGTCGTACTGCAGCGGTGCAATGGCGCGGATGCGGGATGCAGAATGCAGAACGCAGAATGCAGGACAGACGGAGTGCCTTGAGTGGGTTGATTGCTGCGCGGGGCACGTTCGTTGAGAAGGTTATCCTGACATAAACTCTGGCACGACCTTCTTGTTTCTCGCGAGTGATGGGACGAGCATCTGCAAGACTCAGGTCAGCTCCCCTCACTTGTTGTTGACGGTCTTTCACAATAGGAAGGCGATGTCAGAGGCCGCGTGTATCGCGGCACGATTGGCGCGTTCGTTGACCAACAAGAGCTTCAAGTACCAGATTCTTCGTCGTTACTGGACCCGGTCATAACTAGTGTACGTCTCTCGGTCTCTCTCTGCGACGAAAGCGCCTCACGATGACGGCCAGTGAACCAATGGATCGGACAAGCTGGAGAAACGCAACATGGCCGCGTGAGTTGTGGCCGCCATGCTGGTCTCAGATGTCGGTTCCCCAGATGGTGGCTCGGTGGCTCGGGGACGCAGCCAACGAGAATTGGGCCGGCCGGAGGAGCTTGGCGGTCATGATGATGCTTTTTTTCTCCTTTCCCCTCACTGATAGACGTTTTCTTTGGTTGTATTTGGCGTTCTGCACAGTCACGACTCCGGCTTTGTCTGCAGGCAGTGAATTCGGTCTCCAGGGTTGGATGGCACGATGGATGGGGACTCTTCCGTTATCATTATCATTGAGAGGAAGGAATTGGCGGACGCCCCTCTTTCATGTCTCACTTTCCTCCCACTTCGAGATCGACGTGCCTTCGATCGAGGGGCATGGTTTCGACACGTTTTGGTGAATTGCGCATGTGGGAGTGGAGACCTGCGCGATGTTTGACCTGGGTTTTCTTCTTTCTCAAAAATGGACGAAAACCGGAACCAACAGAAAAGCATCTTCGTCCGGTGAGCTGTTCCCGTCCTTGGTCGTGCGAACGCGCTGGAACGTCGCACTGCAGAAAACCGCCAGTGACCTTTTCGTTGACCCCCTTGACATCCACCCCCACAAGTCCCGTTCAACGCACTGTTCATGCGAGAGACCGCCGCTATGGCCAGCTGTGGCGTCGGCGTGGTGTGCGGGTGGGTGAGTGTTGATTGCTTCCCTCGACGCTGGAATCCCTGGTCCTCTTGGTTCGGGTCTCTTCCGCTGTCTGTCGAGATGAGTGCTGACAATGACAATAACACCGAGTCAAGTCAGCTCAGCCAGGCAAGCCAGGTTTGCTGTCGAATGTCGACCAACAGAAGACGGGATCCTGCTGGGATTCGTGATGGAAAGCCACAAAGCCAAGTGGGGTGTTGCATTCAATCAAAATCAGGAGTCCGCCACAGCTTCTTCACGTCGCAATCACGATTCGCAATTTGCCAGTTCTTTCTGATTTGGCGCGTTTCAGCGGGTGCTGCCGGCCCGTCAACCACTTTTCCAGCGGGAGGCAGGTGCTTATCAGGGAATGAGCCACAGAGACCAACGACAGAGACTCGCACACTGGAAAGAACTCAAAGAAAGAGCTCTGGTGGGGCACTTTCCGTCCGCAATCCCGTTCCCCACTCGTGGAGGGGACCCCTGGCATGGGTAAGGCCCCGGTCGATCTTCAGCATTTTATCACACCAGGAGATGAGGTCTTCTTGTGACGGCCACGAGGCAGCGAATAGGAAGCCACTCCCGCCCCGAGGCTCATCCCAAACAAGCCAAGGGGAAAATAGCACCCCGGTGGCTCTTCCCCTTTTCGGGATTTTCTCAAGGAGAGCTGATCGGAAACGCGACAGAATGGCCGTTTTTTTTCTCCAACGCTTGTGCCGGACGGGAGCTTGCAGGTTTGGACGACATCAACACTACTCCGAGGAAGCTTGTGTCAATTGTTTTTGACTCTTTCTCCGAGACTGTCGGAAACCCTACGAGAACCATTATCCCGATGAGGGACGAGGCCGGACGTGATCTCCAGGTGATATCCGAAAGTCTCCCACCGGGATTGTGCGGCTCCAGTTGGAGCGTCGACTCTTCGGGAATTGCAAACATTCTGGGTCGGGGAAGGCCATTGAATCCCTGCATTCTCGAACCTTGCACTCGAAAAGTTGCGCGGCGCAATTTTCGCCTTCTTGTTCGTTTTGGTTTCTCCCGACCCGACCCTTCGGGGCCCCGGCCAGTGGCCAGGATCTGGGCTGGCATTCATTTTGAGATCCTGGAGAGGCACTTTGATCCTGCGGAGTGCATCTCGTTGAAGGTATTTTGGGCAGATATTTGGGAGATGGAAGGAAAGAGCACGAAAGAAGGAGAACGGCAGAGCAAAGTCGTAGCACATGCGGACATCGTTGATGGCCCCCCATCTACATGGAACTGTCAAGAGCAAACTTTGAGCCGCTCCTGCCCACGGAATGAGCTATGCTAGTGTGGCTCGGGTTACCATCGTCACTGTGCAATGCAGACGGTTGAAGGTCTGTGGGGGAGCGGGACGCCGGCAAGCCGCGCTAACCATTGGTCTGTGTGGAAGGAGCAAGCAGCCGGCTTCCAGATTTGTGCCGATTCGTTCTGCTGTTCTGCTTCCGGGTTGTCTGGATTGGCGGCCCACAGGGGCGAGGGGAGCAAAACATTCATTGGAAGTTTTGGAACTGCAGTTCCTGGGTTTTTCCTCTCTTTTCGCCAAGGCCAATTCACCTCCCAGTGCTCCCACCAAGCCGTGATCCATCCCAGCTGCTGCCCAGGGACAACCCCCACCGGTTGTGGCTTGTGGATGGTTCGTGTCGAAAAGTGGAACGTTCATGGTTGCATCAATCACCCAAAGGCCAAGGCTCGCCAGGCTTATCCAGGCACGCCCGCCCTGGGTGATCCGCGCAAACCTCCTTTGGGTCTGGTATCGGGGCCATACAATCTCAGGTCCGGCCCAGCGTCACATCTTGCGGCCGCTGTTGTTTCCCTCTCTCTTTCCTTCTCGATCTTGAATCTCGGGGCTTTGTTGCGCTGCGTTGAGCGTTCCCTTTGCCAGTGCTGCTTCGTGGCGCCGTCTTCTCGACATTCGTTTCTTGTGTGTCCTGTCTGGTCGAGTCAACGAGAACTCCCAGTCCCAGGCCCGGCGTGCTGCTTTCTTCTCGCCTCGTCTCGACTTGAGGTTGCGCCATACCGTATACTACACGCGCTGTCACCCCCCCTTTGTGTACAGCTTCCTTTCTCTTCTGGTCCCTCGCTCATCTGGCCTGTCCTTTTCTCGTGGCCGTTTTCCTTTTCGAACAACGCCAGGCAACGCAAGACCAAGGTACGTATGTACCGTATAGTACAAGCTGTGATCAGGAGACTCGCCCTTCGACTTGTTGCTCATGATTCAACCACGAAGCCCCGCCACTCACCCGGTCACTAACAGACGAATGTGTAGCTAGTTGGTCGTGTTCTTGATCTTTCGATTCTGAACACACTCCCGTGCTAAGGCCGCCACGACCCGTTCATCGCATCATTTAGTCCCCACGTGGTGGGCCGGGACCGCGTTCAAGGACGCCTTCAACCTCGGGATCACAGGCAGCGGACACAGGTGTCTAACCAAAGCACCTGCCTTTTACCACCCACCAACATCGTCTTTCCTGGTGTCTGACGATTCATCTCCGAGCATTGTAAGTCGAGCCCCCCTTTTTCTTTAAACCCCACGGGTTCTCCAAATATCACCTCCGCATTCAGGTTGCCTCGGCCTTGGCTTCAAGGGGTTCACGTTTCTTAAGACGCATGCTATAGCCTCAACGTTCGCTTGCTATTTGTGGAGAGCATTGTGTAATGGTTGGCCCCTGACAACAAGGATTGGAATTGGATTATCGATCGTTTAAGCACTGCATCGGCTGTCGACAACATTTTGAGTTTTGAAGAACTCGGTCAAGACTAACACATCAAATTTGACAGTCATCCCCAGCTGTCCTGGTGTTTTATGCTACGGCCTGCTGTGTCGAGCCTCGAACCTTCGTCTGAGCTTCTGGCCTCGGGCAGCCCCCCGTGTCTCGCGTCACCCTGAAACAGAGCTTCATAAAGCTTATCCTAGACAACAGGGATCATCGCAGTTGAGCTCTCGGCCTGTGACGTCCAGTATCACTAACACGCGCTCGCCGACCACACCGAAAATCGAATTCGAGTCTCGACCTGTTACGACGTGGAAATGACCGGAGCTCTCTGAGTGACGCAACACCGCGGCACATTTTGTCTGCCACCAACAACAAAAACCAGTACCCATTGACTCACCATGGCTGCGTGGGAAACCGAAGACGAGTCCACCGGGCCAACGGTCTCTCTGCCCACACCCATCGATGCACCGCGTCGCACCCTTTCGCGTAACGTCTCGCGGGGTTCACGAAAGTCGGGAAGGTCGATTACGCCGCCGGGGAAGAAGGGCAAAAGCCGGTCTCCGCCACCACTGCCGACTGACAAGATCTCTGACAAGGGATCGAAGAGGTCTTCCCGAGATGTTACGAACGATGAGAACATCAGTATCCTGGACCCCCGACGCTTCACACCGACGCTCCACGCAAGTTTGGTCTCGGAAATTTTGTCTCTGAGGCGGGATCAGGAGGAGAAATTGAAGATTATCGAGGGTCTGGAGACATCGTTACACGCCTCACGGCAAGAGACGGAGACTGTGCAAAGCACGCTATTGACGACAGGGAAGGAAAGCAGGTCACTGAAGCGTCAATTGTCTCTATTGGAAGGAGGAACATCATCTGCTCTGGGAGAACTGGCGAGGGAGCGCGATGAAGCTGTCGATTCGGCTGCGGAAACACGGAAACGGCTTGACGCGACACAGAAAAAGCTGCGGAGCCAAGAGGAGGATTCCGAGCGGGTGCATCAGCAGTGGGCGAAGGAGAAGGATGAGTGGGAGGAGGAGAAGCGCAAGTATGAACGGAAAATACACGTGGCAGAGACGCGGCTGAAGGTGGTTTTGGACGAGGTCGCTGCTTTCCAGGCTGCGCAGGCCGAAGGAGCGAATGGGGCTGGTAACGGTGCTGAGAGTGACGGGGAGGAGAGCGTGAAGGACGACGCGGGCAGTGTTCGGAGTCTCAGCATGACGAACAGCGTCCGTTTCTCCGTGGCAAATAGTATCCTCAAGGCGACCGGAAACTCGCTCGCGGACGAGCTGGGCGGATTCGATAGCAACTACGATGAGGACAGCGACTATGGCGGCCGGGACAGCATCATGTCCAAGGGCCACCTGCGCAACTTCAGCAGGGACAGCCTTGCGTTCCGGACTCACCAACGGCACCGCAGCAACGACAGCATGATGCGGCCTGGCAGCGTTGCGCGCGGGAAGCTTTCTTTCAACCCGGCTGCGTTGGAACGGCTAGAGGATGGTATTATCAAGGAGGACGATGAGACGCCGCAGGAAGCCCCCAAGGTTGTTAGTTACGTTGATACTGGGGTCCAGTACTCGCCGCCTCCGTCGCCCAAGATCTTCCCATCGAAGCCCTCGACGCCCGAGCCGAACTCGTTCCTGCAGCGGTACGAGCGGCTGTTTGGTCTGGAGAGCCCTCCGCGCCCCGACTCGGAGATCGAGGCGAACCAGCGGAAGAAGCGGGTGAGTTTGACGCAGCCGCTTGCCCTCAAGACGCCGGGCGCTGGTAGCCTCATGGTCAACGGGTCGTCGCAGACGTCTGAAGAGCCCCTGAGCCCGCCTAGGACGCCTAAGACGCCGGTGCAGGAGGTTCTCCCCCTGAGCCCACCTCCCCCTCCTCCAATGCCCGCTATGGTATCTTCGTCAACTCAGACCGAGGAACCGCCTGCGCCGTTGCTCGAGCCTCCTTCTCTCGTATCTATCCCTAGCATCAGCATCATTCCCCCGACAAGCCGGCCGACGACTCCGCGCGAGTCTCGACTGCCGCCACTGACCAAGGACTTTGGGTGCCAAGTGTCGCTGTCGTATACCGCGCCGATGACCTCCTCAGGCATGCAGACGGAAGAGATCCGGGTCGATATGCGCCTGGACAAGCTTCCGCCGCATCTTCGCCCGTCTGCTATCACGTCGAGGCCGTCATCGCCTGCAGTGGATACCATGGACGTGTCGTCTGGGGGCGATACCAGGCAGTTCACCCCGATTCCTGGCAATCTTCCCCCGCGGAACCCGCGACGGCTGGCGAGCAAGACAAGCCTCACGGAAGTGCCCTCATCACCGCCCGTTGCTTCGACGTCGATGCTGGAAGACGAGACGCACGACTTGTACCCAGGCAGTAATGACGATGGACCGCTTTCTAGCCACAGGGCGCCTATGCGTCGGCCGCCGAGGATCAGCAGTCTGTTTGCCGGCTTTGATGGAAACAGCTCTGACGAGGCCGACGAGTTTCTCGATCCCGATTTCAGCGACTCGGAGTACCGCACAGCACTCTCAGCGCCGCGGCCTAAGAACAGCTCGAACCGCGGCGGCAAGCGGAACTCTGTGGGCACCGTCACGTCGTCCGAGAACACGTTCTCGCCCAAGGCCAGCAGCCGGATGTTCTCGGCCCCCTCAGAAGACGGTGAGACGTACGATTCCGTGCCGTACCCGATGTACGATTTGCGGGACGCGGCGTTCATCCGGAGAGGGTCGAAGCGTGGTAGCCGGCCGTCGGTGTTTGGGACGAAGCCGAGCGTGATGCGTCGGTCGGTGATGATCCAGAACGGGATCGCCTCGCACCAGCGCTCTGGGAGCCCCAACTTCCTGGACATCGCGAGGGAACCTCCGTTCCCGATCCCGACGCGTGCCAGCTCGAGGAAGCCGCCGATCAGTGCTAGCGCGCCGAGCGACGGACGCACCAGCCCGAGCAGAGGTTCGGACGTGTGGTCTCGGAGGGGATCAAACCGCAGCCACTACCGCGCGGGCAGCATCCGCAAGGTCCGCTCGGCAGCTGTGGTCCACCCGCGGGCCCAGAGGAACCGGCGCAAGAACAGCCGCTCGCCACCGCCGTTTTCCATCTCGTCGTCTAACAACGCGCCCGAGAGTCCGGGGCTCCCACCGCTGCCGAACAACGGGTACTCCTCGTCGGCCCGGTACCGGGGCCACCACCGGTCGCAGCCATCGACCACGACGGCAAACACGGGCACCACGGACGCGGGCGCCGCGTCGCAGAACGGACTGAGCCAAACGCCTACTGTCGTGGATGCTATTGCGCAGACCATGGTGGGTGAGTGGATGTTCAAGTACGTCCGACGGCGCAAGTCGTTTGGCGTGACGGATACAAGTGATAGCGGCAGTGATCGCCATAAGCGCTGGGTCTGGCTGGCGCCGTATGAGCGGTCGATTCTGTGGAGCAGCAAGCAGCCGGCTTCGGGCAGCGCGTTGCTGGGCAAGTCCGGGCGCAAGTTGGCCATCCAGTCCGTTTTGGACGTCAAGGACGACAACCCGCCCCCCAAGGGTGCTGCTCGCATCTTCAACCGGTCCATCCTCATCCTCACGCCGGAACGGGCGCTCAAGTTCACGGCCGAGAACGCGGAACGCCACTACATCTGGCTTACGTCGCTTTCCTTCCTCGCTCACTCTAACCAGGCCATCCCGGATACCCTCGTGGTGCCGCAGCCGAAACCGCTCATCGAGCAGTACGAGCTGCCCAAGCCGAAGCGCAAGGCCATCCGCGACTCCATCCGCTTGACCAAGGCCAAGACGGCGGTCATCAAGTCTGACCCCGTCACAGCCTCCGAGCCACAGCTCGACAGTGCCCCCCCAAGTATCCCCACCTACCGCCCCCCTCCAGTCCCCGAAATCTACACCAAACCCGCCCATGCGCGGGATGCCTCAAGAGACACCGCCGCGCCCCCCGCCATCCCACGGTACTCGGAACGCGCCCTCCAAGCCGGCGGCGCACCACCCCCCATCCACGGCCGCAAACGCAGCAACACCGGCAGCCACATCCCCCCACCACTCTCCTTCCGCGGCTTCTCCGGCCCCGCCAGCAGCGCCAGCTACCACACCGCTTCCAACAGCACCGCCGGCAACAGCGTCATGACCGCGGGATCCTCCGACCTCTACAGCAACCCCGGCGGCGGCGGCAGCAGCGCCATCACCGCCGGCTCCAGCAGCGGGATGACCTGGGCCGGGACTCCCTCCGTCCGCACCTCCGAAGCCTCCAGCCGGCCTAGCGGCGCGGTCATGAATAACTTCTTTGATGCCATCGGTACCGTGCGCATGGAGGCGTTTATCAGTCCGTTGGCGTTTTCGTCCGAGTCGATGTATGAACATCAGCAGGAGGATCAGTTCCGGTATCCGCAGCAGCATTATGTTGGGCGAAGGAGGAGTAAGGAGTTGAGGCGCAGGGCGAGCAGGAGTAGTCGGCAGCGGGATAGTTATCAGAGTCGGGCTACTAGGACGACGGGAACGACGGAGGATGCGGAGGAGTGGTATATGCGGGATGATCCGTTTAGGGGGTTCTAGGAATTTCCTTTCGATTCGTTCTCTTTTCATTGACGCTATATCTATCGATATCTTGTGGTGTTTACCACGATCCAGTCACGACTGACGCTTTTCTTCTACATGTCTTTTATCTGCCTACCTATCTATCTTACCTACCCATTTGTCTTATATATATCCTTTTTTGTTCCTTTTCTTCCTTTCTTTTTCTTGGTTCATTCAAAAGTTTGCTTCGGGGAGGTTCCCCATTTTGGTTTTGGTTTTTGAGATGGGCGGGACGGGTTTCTGCTGGATTTGGTTTCTTTTCGTGTTTGGGATATTGGACAGATGGGATGGAGAGGTTTCATGGTTTGAGGCGTGAGATAGCGGTAAGGCGGGCGAGTGGGCGCTGTGGGTGGGTGGTGGTTAGAGGGCCACAAGGAGTGATTGGAGGATGGTGTGGTCAAAAGGCTTTGGCTGCTGAAGGCCTACCCGTTTTGGATTGAGTGATACCATCTTTTATTAGGGGAGTAACTAAGCTTCCCGTTGTACATATATATATATTTGTTGACTTCTCGCTTTTTTTCTGCTCCTTTTTTTTGTTACTTCCGTTTTACACCATAACTTACAGGGAGACAGGTGACAGTGCCTGGGTGTCCAGGTGTGGGCTATGCGAGTAGCAGAAATGGAAAGAATCACGGCTTGCTGTGTGGCAGTGGCTGGACATATTTTTGTTTGTTGAGCATTGTATTGATACCCTTGGTCTCTTCTTGACTGTGCAGTTCTAAGTCTTTATTTAACATATGTTCAACTGTGTATGTCGGATTAAGTCCGTATAACAACTCACTGCGATCTGGAAAGGGTCCCAATCCATTACCCTAACCCTGGAAGCTGGGACAACCCCGCCATGCCCCACCATGTTTTCAAGGTCTGCTTTGGGCAACTTCATTCACTTCAACTCAAACTTCCAAGTGGTTGATCATTCACTCCGTTTTCTCACTTTTATTTCACCTCATTCTTAACACGTGGTCAACACCCGGGTTTCGATTTACCTCCCAAAAATCAACGAGATATCAACGCCTAATCACCAACCCCATTCCGTTCTCTATCCCAGACAGATATCAACAGAAGATCCCAGCCATGTCGGAACCCCCCAAACAACCCCCCGTGGATTCCCCTACAGAAACTCCCAAAGAAAAAGAAACCCTCGAACAAGCCCAAACCCGCCACCGCAAGGAACAGCGCGATCTCCAAGCACGCATCACTAATAAAAAAAAGAATGCGACCAAGAAGACGCGGAAATTTGTCAATGACGAGTGTGTGGAGTTGGAGAGGGCGTTGAAGGAACGGCAGGAGGGGGAGGTTAGGGGGATTTTAGGGGAGGGGGATACCCAGGATGATGGGGAGCAGGGTGAGGGAGAAGACGAGGACGGCGTAGATGGTCTGGCGGGGAAACTGGCTTCTACCACACTCTCACACCAACCACCATCATCATCATCACAACCCCCACAACCATCAGCACCTCAACCTCAAGCCTCACAAGCAGCTCAACAAAAACCTAAACGCAACCGTCAAAAAGACCGCCTAGCCCGCCGCGCCGCCGAAACCCAAGCAGCCATCGACCAAGCCGCGCAGGAAGCTGCCGCCATGCCGGACCGACGCACGCTCGAGAAACAAGCCATGCAGCGCGTGTTTGGGGAGCATGGGTTGAGGGAGAAGGAGATTGCGCCCGATGGGCATTGTTTGTTTTCTGCTGTTGCTGATCAACTGGGGGTTATCGGCCTGTCTGTCGTCTCGGGTGGGAAAGGGGATGGTTCGGGCGGTGGTGATTCGGGTGATGGTGTTGAAAGGGGGGAAGAGAAACAGCGCGGAGCAGAAGTAAAACAACCCCCCTACAAGCTCGTGCGAAAAGCAGCAGCAGAGTATATCGACACCCACAAAGACGAATACGCAGGGTTTCTGGAGGACGGCGTACAAGTGGACGAGTATGTCGCGCGGATTCGGGATACCGCCGAATGGGGCGGGCAGCTGGAGTTGAGTGCGCTCGCGAATGTGTATGGGGTTGAGATTCGGGTTGTGCAAGGGCAGGGGAGGGTGGAGGTTGTAAAGCCGACGACTGGTGAGGTACCGGGGGGGACACCGGAGGAAGGGAAAGCAGGAGAGAAGGGACAGGAGAGGAAGACGGTGTGGTTGGCGTATTATCGGCATGGGTATGGGTTGGGGGAACATTATAATTCTTTGCGGAAGGAGGTGTGAGCTAAGGGACTGGTTTACATACTAGAAAAGGTCCCGTGTATTTACAATAGAGCAGTGTAATGCGCGAGACTTGACTACGAGCCCAGACTGATTTGTTTCACGCTAAGAAAGCTAGACGGTGTTGAGAACGTATTTGGCAAAGCTTTCTATCGCCGAACACCGGGAGTACATACACCGGTTGGCGTAAGGCTAGTTAGGGCCCGCTGAGAGCTATTCGGTTTAATAGAAACCAGTCGTTACAGCAATTCTCGAATCCTCATCTTCCAGTACACCTCGCTAGCTCAGATTGGAATCCGCACTATCCTACCGGTTCGTTTGTCATTTTTGATTGTCAACCAGCTGGGTCCTGTGTAGTTGGAGAGGCTCGATTGACCCATCAGCGCCTTGAAAACACGGCAATGCTTGGCCTGACAAAGTGAAGGTGAAGGCGCCAAGGATTTAACTTCTGCGCCGAAAGAGGTAAAAGCCTCCAAGTCCCAAACACCTACATGATAGGTAGTCAGACCACTGTCTTTGAATTAACCAAACTGGAAGTTACCAATCCATTTTCGAGCCAAGAACCGAATTCGAATGAACGAAGGCTTGGTGGCGCGCAAGCAGAGTAGCCGACCTTCTTTGCCGGAGCCGATCCCCACATATTACCGGAACCTCAAAACAGGACGAGGGTCTCGGCAGATGATTCCATTACATTCGTGGAACGAGGAGCTGTCTTCCACGAAGTATTCTCAACTACCATGGTGCCCAAATGCGGTATTGTAACGCCCTGTCTCTACTACTTATCTTGCCGACGTCAATGCCGAGAAACTACCAAGATCTTCAACAATAACTGCTTTCCCAGGTCTGCGGGAACGGGATTGGATATGGTTGCAGTAAACCTCTAAAAGGACTTGTAGCGAAACGGATAATTCTCCCATTGGCGTTCGAAGGGTCGGCCATCTGAGTTCTCCGTTGCCGGTTTAGGTCTTGAGCATCACGGAAGCTATATCGTTGTAGATCTTCCACTCACATCTGTGTACATATAAGACCAACCCATCTTACCATTCATACCCAGCCAGTACCCTCTGATCATCAACTATCTTTCGATTTACGCATTCTTTGAACGAACCTCTAACTCCCATAAATATGACTCGGTACTTCACCCATCTCCTCCCCGCCGCGGCCCTCCTCACAACCTCCCTCCACGCTGTCACAGCCACAACCCCCTCCCCCGGCTGCGGCAACACCCCCCAACTCATCACCCCCTCCGCCTCCACCACCCCCCTCACCATAACTTCCAACGGCAAACCCCGCGAATTCTACGTCCTCCTCCCCGACAACTACGACAACACCCACCCCTACCGCCTCATCCTCACCCTGCACGCCCTCGGCGGCAACGCCCAGCAAGTCACCGTCGGCGAGGGCGGGTACCTCCCCTGGTACGGCATCCCGGCCCTCCAAGCCACCAACGACACCAGCGGGACCGGAGCGGTGTACGTCGCGCCGAATGGGATTGATAACGGCTGGGCGAACCAGGGCGGGGAAGATGTGGCGTTTTTGAAGGCTGTTATTGACACGGTGGAGGGGGATCTTTGTTTGGATCAGAACTTGCGGTTTTCTACGGGGTTTAGCTACGGGGCGGCGATGTCGTATTCGCTTGCCTGCTCGCTGGGGAAGGAGATTCGCGCTGTGGCCGTGCTGTCGGGGAACCCGCAGATTAGCGGGTGTGAGGGGGGGACGGAGCCCGTGGCGTATTATGGCCAGCATGGGGTTAGTGATCAGGTACTGCCGATTGCGCAGGCGAGGGAGATGCGGGATCGGTTTGTGGGGAATAACGGGTGTACTGCGCAGACGCCGTCGGAGCCGGCCGCGGGCAGTGGGACGCATACGAAGACGGTGTATGAAGGGTGTGATCCGGCGTATCCTGTGGTTTGGAATGCTTTTGACGGGGATCATACGCCGCAGCCGAAGGACCAGGGGGCGACGGATACGTTTGCGGCGGTGGAAACTTGGGAGTTTTTCTCGCAGTTTGAGTAGCGACTTAGTTATAACGGGGAAGTATGAGAGCGTTGGACGGGCGAGGTGGTTGATCTCGAGGACCTCTGGAAGGCCTGAATACCATCTTGCTCTGGAAGGCCTGAATACCATCTTGTCTGTTCTAAGTAGAATGGTGTGCTGAGGAGGTTCACTGAGGGCATTGTCAACCTGGTACTTAGGCAATAAGCAGAGAATATGAGCATCAGTAACCCACTCTATGGCAGAACGGTAGTATGAATACTCGTCAAAAGGGTGATGTTGATACTTGCTAGTGTAGACGATTCATCCCTGTTTAATTGTTAGTGTGGGACTTGGAGAGTGGTGCCGAACTGTCGTTAAAACCCTGGTTGCGAAGTTGCGAGCTAACAAGCAAAACCGCTGGACTGGTGGGGAGGCCCGTGCATATAGCTGGAGGTCTCCCTTTGCGAACGTTGTGAACATTTTAGGGTGTCTGTCGTTGAGCCCCAAACCGGATAGGTCGTGAACTCGTACCCTGAAGATGATAATGCTTTGATAGTGTGACTCTTAGATTTCTCAAGATTAAGTGAGCGAGGCAACATCATTTTTGCCCCACCTTGCCTCACGCGACGGGATGACCACTCAAGCAAACTCAAGGTGGGGCTCGCCTGCCTGCCCGCAATCATCGCCCAGTGACTTCAGTCGGGTTCTGCAGATATCCATCTCGAGTCCGGACTTAACCACACTCTCCCAACTTCCATCTTTCTCTTTTTTTCCTTCAGTTTTGCTTGGTATTTCTGCTCCCAATAGCCCGACAGCCCGATAACGAACAAAACCCGAAATTTCCGGTCGACTTTTCCTGCTTTCTGCATCGGATTTTACCCCACATCCCCGACCACGCGCACGGCTGCAGCCCGAGTTTAACTGACGACTGACCGCCGGCCGCTTTTCCAACGGATCGCGACTCAACAACGCCCACAACGAGTGGATTACAAGGAAAGGGAAACCTAAGACTGTTGGCGTGCACATAGGAGGACGGCTACGGTCGCAATACCGCCAGGATGCTGAAGATATGGTCTATGGTATGTTGGTCTTGTCCCAGGTCGCTGGGC